CCAAACACTCTATTTGAACCAAGAGCTACTAGATAAAAAGTTATTAGCTGAAACTAAATGAACTGAGCTCAGCTCTTTGCAGCTCAGTGGAAGGTGGAAATAAAATATTAATCAGGGTGAGAAAATTTTAAAGGACCTTCCCCTGCTCAAAATCCCTTTCCCCCTAATAATTTTCGTACAGTCCCTACGGCTGCTTTAAGAAATAAGCCGTCATAAAAATCAAACTTGAGCACAAATACACAAAATTATTTAAAGCTCCATCCAGTCTAAAGGTCTCTGTCCATGTGTAGTGTGATTATAGATCAGCTCTAGGTTCTGTATTAATACTGTGAAAGTATCAAAGCCTCAGTCCACAGAGAAATGCACACAGCCTGTATTCAGAATCTGAGCCTTAAAACCAGCCGTCAGGACTTCTGGAACTTTGTGATGTCACAACAAAGCAGTCACCAAGCCCCGCCCACCTGGACCCACCATCCAAACCTTTACAGGATTTGGTTTCTCTGAGTGTTTTTAACCTGGAATCTGCTTTATTTTTATTGGATCACTCAGAAAACAGTCAGCCAATCAGAAGAGAGGCTCAGAGCCTCCTCTCCTCTGATTGGCTCACCGACCTGCTGTTACTAGAGCTCCAGAGTGAAGCCTGAGAGAGGAGATGTAAAACTACACTGAGATGGTATTTGGTTCTTAAAACCACAAACATATCTTCTTATGGATCAACACTTCAAATAAAACACAGAAGAAGAAGAAAATGGTGCTTTAAATATGATTTGTCTGCTGCAGAGGAAAGTCACCACCTCCTAAAAATGATCAATTTCAACAAATTAGCCCTGAATTGAGAATATCATCATCATCATCATCATCATCATCATCAATATTCGCTCATGCCTGACTTGAGGGGAGGTCCAGGCGCAGCGGTTCGCTCTCCGCTTTCACACGCAGGATTTGTCGACCACGGCCGAGCTGTGAACGAGGAGAACAATCGCGCGGGGGCTGAAATGAACACTACCACTGCTTTTGTTGATTTGGCATTCACACGGCTGGCCATTTTTCAGGGGAGGAAATTCAAGTGAAGCACTTCCAAGTACTCGTGGAGCAGTGAAGGCAATTTCCCCTCAGTCAAGTGGCTGAAACCCTCTCCAGCTGAACAACTTCCTGCATTTAGTCAGCAACCCCCCCCTTCATCTACCCAACCAACGACACCCCCACCCCTCCTGCTCCATCATCACCCTGCTGAGTTGGCATCAGTCACAACCTCTCACTGGGTCGCTGCTCCCTCCAGAACAGACCGAGGCTTCACGTTTATTTTATTTCATTTCAGAGTCTGTTTTCTCTGCATCGTGTCGCTACCTGTGCGCTTCAAACTTAAACTCCCGTATTATTCAGTGATGGATCAGTCAGAGTTGACGTGTGTTGATTGGAGAGTTGGAACAGCTTTCTAACGAGTGTTGAATTAACTCTGATGAGTGTGCACTTCCAGATGCAGCAGCAAAGTGTTGATATTTATACTCTGAGTGCAATTTACTGAGTTCTTTTTTCTCTTTTTTTTTGTGCTGTGAAGGATCTCAGCAAAAACATAAGCACGTGGAATAATTACGCAATCAAAGGATTATCACCTCTGACTCCTGTACAGAAGAAACAGAGATGTGAAGTTACAAAGTTTTCTCCTTTTTATGTTGATTTTGTGAAACTTTTTTACTTTAATCCACATTCTGGTTTTATTTGTTTTCTACAATCTCTCATGAAACTTAAGGTTTTTAAAATCTGGTTACATTCATCACAATTATTTCCACATGTGGTGAATAAAAAGATGCATCTTCTAGCAAATGAGTGTTAACCTCATCCGTCTCTGACGTGCTGTCAGTGTGTCAGATGACACGGAGGTTTTGAGCCTCGGCCCATTACGGCCTCCGCGGGGCAGCGAGCAGGGCTGAGGACTCCCACGGGGGGGACCGGGAGATCCTGAGGGAGCCTATTAACCCATTATGTTCACCTCCAGAACGGTGTTAAGGACAACAATCGCATACGTGCTGGAGGCTGAGCCACAGGAGGCTACAGCTGCTTATAGAACAACCCTGTTGTCGCCCCGAGGCGCCGATCAGCACCATTCCCATGCCGTGCCTTGCTCAAGGGCCACATGTAGAGAAGAGAAGTGATTAGGTCAAGAGTGTAATGCAGCCTCTTGGACTCACATGTGATATTTCATTCGAGGAAAGTGGGAAATCATTTAAAATTATAGTGTAATTAGGTAAAACAATAGCAATGATTGTACAGATACTGGACTCATTTTCAGTGTTTTTTTTGTGCCTTTTTTTTAAGAGTAAAAAATGAACCATGTGGCTTGCTGTAGATGTACTGCTATCATATCCTGCTGTCTTTTAATGTACTCATATGCATGTGCATGGGATCAAATAAAACAGGCCCTGTAAAACACTGAAGTGGACGGTGAAGTATATCACACTATGTCACATGTTTAATTTCTTCCTTCTGCACCTCCCAAAAAACAGACAGAAAACTGGGTTGTATCAGGGTTAAATCTACAACACGCTGGAGCTGAAGCAAACATTTGAAAATAAAAGTTGTCACTGATCCTGACCCATCAGAAAGTCACACACGGTGACAGATGTGCAGGAGGTGACCAGCCAGGTAAGAGCATGTTTCATCTCTCCTCTTTGTGTTTTAGAAGTTATGTGAATTATAGAAACGGCGTCTTGTTATTCTCTTACATAAACTTATTGTAATGCTGCTATCCCAGCTGATCATTTAGGTCAAACTCAGAGACAATTTGTTCTGCAGGATTTAATTACACGTTATTATGCAGTTATTATACCAGGCTGCTGCAGAATACTTATTAAGCAATGGAAATTAAAACAATTAACATGATGATTTCATCCAGTATAATGATAGCTGTGCTACAGGCTTGAAGACCACAAAAAGATTTCTATTTTTATTTTTCAGAGTCTTTAACATATTGCAGGTATGATGCCAAACAAGCACATCTCCAGAAGACGTATTAGACAATAGAATAATTACCATAATCATGATTATTTTTCTCTGCATTTTAATTAGCCCTATGAAGCTCAATTAAGCTCTTCAGTGCGAGCGCCTATTCAGTAAACAGCTGTCCACCTGTCTTCTCGTTGCTGGGAAAAGGCTGCGGCGCCTGTTCACGCCGAGGTACCATCATCAAATCAGGGTAGGGGGGTCAGACGAGGCCCCTGCAGCCTGCGAAGGGGCCCTCCATATGAGGGGCGATTAATGCCATAAAGAGGCAGGCACAGAGGAAGGACATCATTAAGGTATGCTAATAGCTTGCTTACTAAACTTAAAAGTCAAAAGAGAAATTAATTTAAAATACGCTGAAGTAAAAAAAAAGATGAGAGGAGGAGGATGTAGGATGGAGGCAGCTCTGAATTTATCTGTTTAAACAGGAAGAAAGAAAATGACTGGAAGCATCATCAGCTCTGTGGGCAGCACAATAATCACAGTGATTTTAATTCCTATTGAATTGTGGTTAAATAAAGATAAAGCTTCCATTGACATGATTTTTATTTTCCTACTGGCTTGTTTTACTACCTCAGCAGATGACAAAGACAGGCCACAGGTAGCGACATGTACTGTACGCTTGTGTTCAGGGTGAGCGACGCTGCTCCTGTTCCCTGCAGGAACCAAAGGGGTTAAAACACGTGGTAAATATCCACTACTGCAGATGGATAGGGGAGAGAATCAGTGTTCAAGCGGCTCGGACGTCCCAAGTCTGTCCAAAAATTAAGAGTTATTGATGGTTTTAAATAAAAGAAATAAAAAATAAAATTTCTTTGTCTTATTTTGATATTTTCTTCTTTGGATGATGCAGTGGTGTCGTTTTGGTGAACCTGAGCCATGAAAAGAAAGTTTGCAGTGTAAACAAAGACTTTGATTGTGAGACACGTCAAAGAGAAACTCAGAAAAAGCAGAAACTCATTTGTGATGATTGAATTTAAACATGACTGTCTCCAAACCACAAGCACAGACTTCATTCATTCATTCAACCTTAATTATCTTGTAGAAAATATCATAAACAATAACAGATACTAAGACAAAAAGAAATTTCAAATGCAGATAAGTGACAGAGAGACAGTAGTGAAGAGCAGGTACAGGTGTAGTCAACAGACTCAAAACTTTAAAATCAGCGAAAGAAATCAGTCGATCCAGTTTCTTGTCCAGGATTTGCAATTTGAGTTTAAACGTTTCACGTTTTCTGTGATAAAACAGAGAAACCTGAGGTGTTTTTCAGCCCTTGGTGAATATCAGAGAAACTGCTGTCACTTGAACTAAACTGTAATTCATCAGTCAGGCACAAAGGGTTAATCTGCGCAGATTAGTGAAGGGATAACTTAGCAGAAGTTCTTCTCCTTAGTCGAGCCATCTGCCGACAGAAGACAAAGCAGCGTTACAGGCCCTGAAAATGTTTTCCTAGTTTATCTGTTTAACAGAGTAATTTGTTGATGATGCTGCTTCCTCCTCTTCCTCCTCCTCAGTGGCACTAATCACCCCTCATACTCAGGCCCCGAGGAGACCGTATCTAACAAGGACGCTCGCTTCCTTCGGCTGTTTGATCCCTGAAAGTGAAAGTGTGTTAATTACGCAGAGACAAACCCCATCTGGATCTGAGGCATTAACCCCTTCCTCCGTGATTGCTACACAGTCATTAAGCCTTCAAGAAAAAATAAGGACTAATGATGACTGGCCTTCATCACAACAAGCACTGACTTGATTGCAGAGCCACTTGCCTTTCTCCTGCATTTTACAAAATTATCAAATCATTATAATATCCTAAACAGCAAGAAAAAAATGTATTAATTGATCAATTCCTTATTGAAAATGTAAATTTTTGTTTATTTTAATGATGATTTTTGATTTATAATGATCTACATGTCACTGGTTTTTATCCCACTTTTCATTGGCCCTCATTATAAAACAATATACAAACAGTTTAATGTTAAATATCAAATGAGACATGAGACATTTGAACATTTTATTTTGTGAAAAGGAATCCAATATCGTTTCAAAATACTTTCAATTCACAGAACAATTGTGTCAAACAGTGAACGCAGCTATTACCAAATACATTTAGGGCCAATTTGAAAATCTATTGAATTTCTATTCTAACGAAGTTTAATATTAAAAATAAAATCACAGAAAAATCCCAAACCTAAACTATTAGGAATTAATACATACATAAAAAAAACATTATTATGCTTGTGTATTGTTTTACATGAAAATCCTTTATTTAAAATAAAGGAAATAGTAAAAACCAAACTGCTTTACTCTGAACATGTAACCCATTTTTTTTGTTGTTTTAATTTTCTGTTCCAGGGTTTCTGGCTCTGAAGGATTCTGTCTTTGGTTCGGCTCTGGCTAAATTCTGTAACCGTGTCTTGGCCCGGTTTAGGGGACAATTAGACAGCATTTTTCATGAAATAGACACATCATCTCCAGCCTCCTCTCAGGCCTGTGGCCCAGGGTAACGCAGCTCTACATCCCCCTCTAGTGGTCGAGGCAGAAAATAACCTTTGAAAATGTGATCCGCCCCCCCCCCCCCCCCCAGGATTTAAAAAACAAAAAGTGAATTTGTGAGTTTTTACACATTAAAAATAAACATTTAGCAGGTTGACATGAGCACATGGGGGTAAATTTAATTTTTTTTTTTTTTTTTTTTACAACCTACAGGGTGTAATACTCAAGTGCTAGGATGTTAAAACCTCAGTGTGTGTGTGTGTGTGTGTGTGTGTGTGTGTGTGTGTGTGTGTGTGTGTGTGTGCGTGCGTGCGTGCGTGCGTGCGTGCGTGCGTCTAGCAGTTGAGCTTCTCGACCTCCTCCGTCCTCACAGTGGTCAACTGGTCGTCATGAGCCGCCTCCTCTCCAGGAACCTGAGACAGAAACGCAGAGCGAGACGGTTTCATGAGCTGAACTGGAGTCGAGGACGGGAAACAACAGCAATAAATTACTTATTATTTGATGTCACTGATGCAAACAGAGGATCAATAAAATATTACTACAAAAAAAAGACTGATAGTAAAAATAGAAAAGAAATTATTTCTTTGTTAAAATGTTAAAATGTATATTTATCCTTATTTATCTTTAATCTCTCAAACTGAAGCTCATGTTCTGCACATTTATTTACAGATGAATCAATTCTATTTTAAATTAAATTATGTGATAAATCTCAAAAGAGCCATAAATCTGCATGTGGTTCTACTGAATGTACATTATAGGCATGAGTATGTACAGTATGTGCACTTGATCACCTACAGTGAACTCATATAGATATAGGATCAAAAGCATGATGAGCCACATCCATGTGTCCCATTGCATTGTGGGAGAAAAATCTAACATGACGTCAGGCCAAAGAGAAAAGGTGTGACATCATCCAGGAGGGTTTGTGCTCCTGTAGTCCACCTGCTTCATCACACTGAGGTGGAGGTGAATTTGCTCCACCTGGTGGTCAGACAGCGCCACCGCCTTAACAACGTGGTCACAGTCACTGACATGTGACTGCTGGTGCGACGGCGCCATCTTATGGATTAATGATGACTTTTTTTTTATTTTTCATTTCTCTTTATTTCAGTTCAAACCACAGTGTCAACAAAATAATCATTTTTACATTTTCATAAAATCTTAATAATCTTAAATTTTACTCCTAATTATAGGGAAAATATAAAGATCTGCTCCATTTAAACGCAAATAAATATTCATTCATTTTTCCTCTTTATATATGTTGTATTGTACGTTTGCCTGAAGACATGTTGAACAAGACTTTGTAGTTCATGCAACTATTTGATTTATTTATTTATTCATTGGTATCGAACCAATAAGTTTCCAAATTACAAGCTTCTGCCCGATAAACGTTACAGAGAAACTATTAGAAAAAGTTGAACCTGTAGAATATAGTTTTAAGTCAGATACTTTACATTACGGGTCTCTAATTTTATTATGATTTAGAGGACTCTGTAATTTGGTTGTAATTACAGGGAGGATCTGACTTTTATTGAAAGAACGGCTCCATTAAAGCACAAATACATATTAATTCAGCTCTGATTTATTATTGGAAACTTTATTCTTCATATACAGTATGTCGTGTCATGTGCTTTCCTGGGGATCAGCTGACCTGCGGAGCTCCGACTAAAGACTCACAGTTATTCTAGTAATTAATTGCATGAACTCTGCCTTTTTTCTTTTTTTTTCTGTGTAAGAGGTTTTCTTTCTTTTCAGGGGAAATTTGCAGGAAATGATTCAGAAATTACAGCCTTCAAAATAAAGCACCTGCACCGTCTCATTTGAGTCAAACTCACCTCCCAGTAGATGCTGTCCTCGAAGCAGATGGTGTCAGGAGGAGCGCCGAAGATGGGCAGCTTCAAAATGAAACCTGACGCCAGAAGAAAAGAAGTTACTGTTTAACAGCAGGTCAAATCAGAGTCCAGGTGACCAGAAGCAGGTGACACAGAAATGTACGTTTTTGGGGGGGGGGGGGGGGACTTACCGACAATAAGGCCTCCCAGCAGGGCGATGCCCAGGGTGACGGCGAGGGAAATGATCTGACGAACCCCTTGGTAAGACGCCTCTACATCTCCATTCGCCACATTAGGGAACACGTCTGCCAAACTGAAACACACACACACACACACACACACACACACACACACACACACACACACACACACACACACACACACACAGAGTATCTGTGAATAAACACACTCCTGACAGAGATCGACTCATTCAAACAGCCTGAAGAAGAAAAATGTGGAAACTCAGGACGGTTTGCTGTTTGTGGTTTTTGGTCTCGGTTGAGTCAAAGTGTCTCATCACACACACGCCACAGGCTGGCATCGCTTCTACTTCCTGTTTACACACTCTCACAGGGTGCAGTTTACAAATCGGTGTGTTTAAGCGTTTACCCGTCTCCGTAAATGTCCACAGTTGCCAAAGCGGCCACGATCGCTCCCACAATGGCGCCCAGGATGCCGGGCATGCCGTGCAGGTTGTGAACCCCACAGGTGTCTTGGATCTTCAGTTTGTCCTCCAGGATGGGCTGAAAGGAGGAGGAGAAGAAGAAGACACTGATCATGAGGCCGTGTCGGTTTGGTGGTTGAAATTGGAAGAAATTCTACATAAACTAAAGAACGTTTTTATAGTTTCATGAACCCAAACGTCTTAATAAAAGTTGCTCATAGTGGAAATCAAACCCCACACTGAAGCCACTCAAACGTCTCCTCTGTGGTACTTAAATGTGATATCTGTGCTAGACTGTATCAGGTCTGATTACAGTAATAAAACGCCTGTTACCGTCACGCTCGTATTAGATTTCACAGCAGAAAGGATCCGGAGCTCTAACAGAAGTGTAGGTATTTGTGACTGAGGAGAAAATCTTCAGGTAAAATGCTGAATGGCCCCTTACTGAGAGGTACTTGAAGCCCAGCACAGAGATGATGCCGGCCAAGAAACCCACGATCATGGAGCCGAAAGGAGTCAGCATCATTTCACCAGCTGTTCCCACTGCGACGCCACCAGCCAGCGCAGCGTTTTGGATGTGGACCTAAAGAGAGGAAAAGTATAAGATTCCAGATGCTACTTCTTTTTTTTATTATTATTATTATTATTATATTGAAGCATTTTGCAGCTGCAGAGGAACTTTGATCCTGTAAATCACTGCTGCACTGAACCTATAAACTCATATCAAGTTTTAAACCCACAACCTCTGGCTCTGCAGAGGAAGATTTAAAACATCATTTAAACCTTATAACTGAACAGTCAACCGAAGACTTCTCTTGGTCTCTGGTTGGGGAACATGAAGGGACATGAAGAGACAAACGAGAGGACAGAGGACAAATATTCAGCACTTTAACATCACATTAAATCCTCCACGCGTGACGGTTTGCACACGTCTTGTGATGTAACGTTGCACAATGACACATGACAAAGCCACAGGTGTGCGATGGGAAATCTCTGAGCGCAAAACGTATTTATTGCAAGCACCTAAATTATATTGTGTAGAGAAATGATGAACACACACAGACTGATGTAATGTGAGCCACCAAAAAAAAATATTAATTATACGAAATAAACACACAATAATAACTCCCTCGGTCATTTCCTGCTCTGAACAACCTGGTGTTAAAATGTGTCACACACTCAATTCTTATTTGCTGAATTTATTTATTTACTTTAGATTTTCCTGCCTTTGTTTTCTAAATCTTTGAATCAGCTGTAGAGCCGCAGATTAGATCACGTTAGTGAACTCTTAAACTCTGCGGCAGCAGACAGGTGGAACGCATTAGAGACGAGCTGAATCTATCAGCTGATCGACTTGTCTTAACTATCAACAGGTCACATGGTATGTCCCTTCTCTTTGTCAAGTCTCTGCAGTGAATCTGATTGATTACCATCTCTGCAGGAATGTCCCATCTTGATCTCAGATGACAGGTGACTTTGCTTCTTTTGGAACGAACCTCCAGGTGACTCACTCGTCATCAGACCTCCTGACAGGAAGTCAAGACGTTACAAAAAAACTTTTTTGCTCTTTCCCTCTGGTTTCTCCTGTGTCAGGGTATTTATTTCGCCTGCTGTTTTTATTTACTTTAACCTTTTCATTTACTGTTTTTATGTCTTTGACAGTCGGAGCAGGAGCTATATTGTTTTGTTTTCACACAATATCTAAGTAACGCCTTGACAGAACTTCTTCAAATTTGGTAGAAACATTTACTAGGACTCAAAGATGAAGTAAATAGATTTTGGTGGTCAAAGGTCAAAGGTCAAGGTCACAGTGACCTCATAAAATGGGAGGGAATTTTTTAAAAATTTGGTACAAACATTCACGAGGAGATTTTGGGGGCTAAAGGTCAAAGGTAATTCTAGTTTGTCGTTGATTTGATTTTGGAAACCAGAATAAAGTTCGGTAGTGACGACCCCGTGTCCTCACCATGTCCAGCTTGCCGTCATGTGCCGTGAGGGCGGACATGGCGTAGGAGGACAGGGTGCAGGCTGCCAGGGAGTAGTAGGTGTTCATGGCCGTGCGGTGCTGGTCGTCTCCGTGAGCCGTGATGGCCGAGTTGAAGCTGGGCCAGAACATCCACAGGTAGAGGGTACCTACGTGGAGGTACAACAAGATGGAAAAAAAACAAAACAACAGCAGAGAATTGTAACTTTAAACTGTCAGTCTAAGACAAGATTCTGTTTATCAAGAGGAAAGTCCAGCTGTGCCAGATGTTTACCAATCATGGCGAACAGGTCGGAGTGATAGACCGAGCTGTTCCTGTGTTTGCTCTTGTCCAGGTTGGGCCGGTACAGGACTCGGGTCACCACCAGGCCGAAGTAGGCTCCGAATGTGTGGATGGTCATGGAGCCTCCGGCGTCTTTGGCCTGGAACAAAGTAAGTTCTCAGCTTTGGTGTGTACGATACTGTGTTGAGCTGCGGATGGAAGAGGCGTGTTTCCTCCGACTCACCTCCAGGACAGAAAGCACGATGAACTCGTTCACGGCGAACAGTGTGACCTCGAACATGGCCATGATCAGCAGCTGGACCGGGCTGGTTTTACCCAGGATGGCGCCGAATGAGATGAGCACAGAGCCGGTGCAGAAATCAGCGTTGATCATGCTGAAAGAGACACAGTTGAACCAGAATCAGAATCAGAATCAGAATCAAAATCAGGTTTAAGTAGGTTTTCAACACGGAAGGAATTTGCACGAGTGTTTTGGTGCATAACAATAAAAATAAAAATAAAGATTAGACAACCCAGACAATCACTGCTTGTATTACTGATACATGAGCCACTGAAACTGCAGAATTAGGTCATTACAAATCCACCACTTCAGACAGAGTTACCTGAGTTGAATGTTCTCTCAGTCATGGCTCTGGCTTCGAGTTATTATATATCATATATTATTATAACAATATATATTATAGTTATTATTTTTTTATATTTTTTATGTTTATGTTTAAAATCATTATTTATATTTGAAAATTTTTCACCAAAATTACACTGTTTTCCAAATGATTTGTCAGCTGCACTTGCAACACCTTCACGGCCCACCAGGGGGCCGAGGCCCACAGGCTGGAAACCATTTACGACATGTGATAACAGTAAAATTGTCACGGCTTCTTATATAAGCACATGATGGTCCTGTTTCTTAGAAAGGGATCAAGTCTTGTTCTAGACAAAAGACTTTATGTTAATTAGTAATTAGTTTTAGTTTAGTTTTTGAGCCTCTCTTTAATGATGACTGTACGTCTAAAACTAAGTTTTTGTCTCTATAACAACATGTTGAGCTATTGTCATTCTGTGTCAAAGTTGATTTACGTGTGTGTGTATGGGTGTCTGTGTGTGTGTGTGTGTGTGTGTGTGTGTGTGTGTGTGTGTGTGTGTGACTCAGGGTGTGACCGGACCTGCTTTGAAGTGTCATTAAGACAACAGAGCCAAGAACAAACAGAGGTAGTTTACATATTTTACATATTCAGTATATTGTTTATGTGTGTGTGTGTGTGTGTGTGTGTGTGTGTGTGTGTGTGTGTGTGTGTGTGTGTGTGTGTGTGTGTGTGTGTGTGTGTGTGTGTGTATTCATACATGAACGGTTTACACATACCTCTCCACTCCAATGTGGATCTTGCCTCCATGCATGCCGTGGAAGAAGCCCTGCATGAGCGTCGCCCACTGCAGGGCGAAGGCTGCGATCAGGAAGTTGAAGCCCACACTGCTGAAGCCATATCTCTGCAGGAAGGTCATGAGGAAGCCGAAACCGATGAAGATCATCACATGCACATCCTGGAAACCTGCACAGTGTAGAAAACACTGTCAGTATTTGTGGCCTTTATCATTTTCTACAGGCTGGAGGTTTCAGTTCTATCGATCAGATTGAACCAAAATCTCTATGCAGATGACACTTTACTTTTCCTGGGTGTTGCCTCTGACGATCTCAGCTCCCTTTGCTGCCTTGAAAAATGTATTGGTAGTCTAGTAGATTAATCTTAGGTGTTGCCAGTTACTTTTTCTATTAATTGTTCAACTGTCTGGTCTATAAAATGTACAAAAATTGTGCCTGATATTCTGCTTACAGTGATATAAAACTGAGAAAAGCAGCAAATTTGATAAGCCGGAAACAGAGATGTGGGCATTTGAGTTCAAAAAATGTCTCTTTCTTTCTTTCTTTGTTGATCCACACAATTGTTACACCACTAATTGACTCTAATATAACTTTCCAGTGACATATAAGAAATGTTCTCATATAAGAATTTTTACAATGGAAAAACAGAGATGTAAAAAGTAGCTGGCAGCATTATCATTCGTTTAGATCAACCTCATATCTGCTCTTCAAAAGCTTCAGTGAACAAAAACAGCTGATGGCTGCCAACAACTGAGTCACTCGAGGGCTTTGTCATTGAAAACAGCCTTTTCTCTTAGAATGAGCACAGTTACATAAGCTTAGGGTAACAGGGACTTCAGGTTCAGCTCTGGCCTCAACAGTGTGACTTTGAGGAGCTGAAAAGTGGTTTTCATTTTTAAAAACTCATGACTTTAAGTTATTATATACAATAACTCTGTTTTCAAAAAAGAAGCTGGTCCACCGTGTGAAAGACTTTCAGCTACATGGATCTGAACTCTCATTTGTGAACTCTGCTTTCTAACTCGTTAGAACTTGTTATTTGTCCCAAACTGCCACACACAATATTGCACTGTGCCATGGTTGCTGTCGCCATGGTGATCATTAATTGGCATGGCCCAGGCCGGAGGTGTTGCCAGTGTCCCCGTTGGCATTTTGGCCCAGATACTGCGTGGTGACATCCAGGAGGACACCGTGCAATCAAAGCAAGTGTCTCACAGTCACCGTGTGTCTGTTGGAGCTCATTTAAACCATCATGGGACAGTAAAACTCTCCACTGAAATCTGTGCAAATGGATTTCTGAGTTGGGTCTCTGAAACAGGACATAGAAACAATTGCAGTGTCTGCTATGATGCAAAAAATAGTCAGAAACAGCTGCATCTTCTTTACTGAAGCCATTTTGACACTTTGAAAACAAAACTAAAATGTGAAATGAGTAAGAAAATACACACTAATCATATTTTTAATTGCATGTGCTTTAAAATTAACATTTTTTTCTGCTATAAGGATCAAAACTGTGAACATATAGAACAGACAATACATTGACTCTATGACCACCAACAAACAGCGGATTTGATGCACATGATCCTGCTTCAGATAAAGAGACGGAAACAGTCAGATGTCTGTCCCTGTCCTGCCCTATAGAAGCCCTGCAGAGCGGGAACCTGTCTGTTTATTGTCTCCTCCGGCGGTGCGGTAAGGATGGAGCAAGAAGGTTGTGTACACACAGCACTTGAAACATGACGGTGATCTCTCAGGGTTTCGATTCCCATGACAGCGAAGGTGTCAGGTTAAAGATTATCTGAAGCCGTTAAACCTAATGGACCTTCACGCCCGGATCTTATTTTTCTAACCTTAGACAGACAGTTACGCTCTGAGGCTTGAAACAGTCCTGCAGAGGCGGCAGGTATATGAGTCAGGTGTGTCAGAAGTAAAGGTGAAAGCAGTGTGACGCTATCAAAATGTGTTAGAGCAAGAGCCGGGGTGGATTGCTGGGTAAGTAGCAGGTGGAAGAGGAAGACAAGGTTAAAGGAATTCTTTTAAAGTTGAATGACTGTAACGAAGGTGAATAATGACAAAATATAAAACCGAGACCGACTGTCTTCAGCCAAACCAGCAGCTAAATGTTAAATGCTAATGTCATGCAAACATAGAGTTACAATGCTAACATATTGATGTATAGCCAGCTTTGTGTTCATAGTTTAGCATGTTAGCAGGTAGTTAGTTTTGCAGGTATTTCTTCATAAACCAAGCACAGAGCAAATATAGATGAAAAATTAAAGGGTCTCCAAAGTTATTACTGTTCAACCTCTTGAAAACATGAACGTCACTTCACTGGCAGTGAACAAAGGTGTCTGAACTAACGATTTCTGTCATTTCTCTTAAGAACACAGTCTTTGAATTTCCCCTTTAACAGACTTTCCTCTGTAGCGTCGGTCTGAGGCAGGTTCATTCAGCCTCAGGTTAGATGCCACTGTAAGGTGAAAAGTTCAGCAGCTGCCACGAGGAAGGTGGGGGACGACATTACAGTTAATTGCCTGTAGGAAGGCGGTTGGCATGCTGGAGAATTAAACATCATAGTTGAGAAAGGAGAAAGCATTTGTATCTCTACATTCCCATTATTCTCTGCTCTGCCTGGGGCGGGGGTGGGGGGGTGGGGGTGGGGCATTCACCCCTACACCTGAGACAGGGAGGGAGGACGACAGACTATTTTCTACTGGTATTTCTGCTGTTGTTGCACAACTTCCACTGCCTGATAACTGCTCTCCATTTTGATTTAAACACTTCATCTCCTGCTACTGTCACAATACAACTTACATGAGTCGGTAGTTTTTGGTTTTAGTGTAAAGAGTCATCAACGTTATGTCGACAGCAGATTAATATTTTGTTACTTGTGACCTGAAAATACTCAAAATACTGGAGACAGTTACAGATCCACGTCCAGTACACTGAGGTAAAACTATGCGAGATATCCAGGTGAATTCATGACAGTGTCTGAGTTGTTAAGACACGCCCACCAGCCGTCAGTCACCTTACATAAGGTGGATTTGTTAAGGTGGAACAGCCGAGAAGGAGAATTACTTGATGTAAATTTAACACGAGTATCAGTTTTAATTGCAAATGGAAATGGAAGAGACACAGAGATGTAACTTTTTAACTGTATTTAGCTGTAAATTTACAACAGTCTGGTTGATGTTACATTTATATACTACGAAATGGATGAAAAAAATGCTGCATGGATTATGTGCAAGGCTTTTTCCAGTCTACAAACTCCTACAGCACAACACACCGGACTTGTACTTGTTTGTATCTTGCATGGGGGGGGGGGGTTTGTAATATGATTAAATCCTGTAAAAACAAATATGGCCGCTCCTATTTCACCTACAACTTTTCCGCAAAATGTAATAATGATCTTTCCCCGACGTGAAGTTCTGAGTTGCTGATATTATGGCAACAAATGAAATAAGTTAACAGTTAACATTTGACAACTTTGGAGATACATTAATTATTTCTTTATGTTTTAGTTGTTGTTGTTTAGATGCAGCTGCTCCCGTGAGGTGTCACCACAGTGGATCACTATCTATATATTTGATTTGTCATAGGTTTTATGCTGGATGTCCTTCCTGACACAGTCTGGGTTCAGGGAAGCTGGAGATTGATCCACCAACCCAGGGGTCAGTGACCTCTACCACCTGAACTATGGCCCCCAGCATTCATCAATTCTGTATAATGTTGATAAAAGAAAATATAATCTGGCTCTGGTCATGTTTTTTTACAATTTGCTGTTAGCTGAATAGTAATAACGTCGTGCCTCAAGATGTTTTTATCCCATTTTAAAATTCAAACATACATTTGAAAAGATAGATTTTCATGCTATAAATTCATTGTGGCGCTAAAGATTAGTTATGATTAGTTAACACTAAAAAACAGCTTCATGTTTTGTTCGCACTAAGTGTCAGAGGAGAGAATTTGTTTTATGGCAGCAGCAGTAATGAGCTTGTGACAGACTGTAATCAGTGGCCTGTGTTTCTCCTCCAGCCTGTGAAGAAAAAAAAAGCTTTTTTCCTTTTTTTTTTTTCTACACCATCAATCCATATAAATCAGGAAATTAACGATCAGTGGATCAGCCACTGTGGGACAGCAGCCGACTGGAAGACATCTTTATGAAATGTTCACTCACAAAGAATGGGACCCATCCAATTAGGGAAACACTGCAGCTCAGCAGTTTGTCATCCTTTTGCACAGAGTACAGCATTTCCCACGTGAGCTAACGGTGCTAACACTTAACTTAAATACAAAAACACAAATGTTTTTAATGTGAAAATGAGGTGAAGCGACATGCAAGCATGGCATACTTACAGATCTGATAAAATCACTGAGGGAGCATGTAAAAGAGGGTGAGATTATGGTGTTAGTGAGTCAAGTTCAGCATCAATAACTGTTTGTAAAGTTGCATTAAAATGAGATTATTCTTCAAGGCTAAAGAGTGATGCATGAGTGAGGCCATGCCCAAAAACCAAGAGGCCAAAATGACAATACAACTGCAATATTTGGTGCTTTATCTGTTATTTTTGTGTGCAGGAGAGACGAGGATTCAGTCTTCAGGGGATTAATGTGAATTTTTTTCATCTTTATTTGTTATAAATTGCTGATGCATGATTTTTGGATTAAAAACATTTTGAATATTATGTTTTAAATCAAGTCAGTCATGCTTTAAAAGCCTTCTATAAGAAGGAAGAAGAAGAATGAGAATGGCATCATGGGGATTGTAGTTCATTTCTAAATAAAGGACAAATTGGATAAATTAGTTGTATTGTGGTCAATTAAAGAAAATAAAAAAATTTGCATTATATTAAAGCACCCATTCTCATCAAGTTGGCAATGTTACGTATGACTAATGCACGAGATGCTACCACTGGTTCTTGAGCATTTTGACCCCAAGCTCTGACCCCCCACTGTAACCTCTGACCCCGACACACCACACATCCACAGGACACTCACTTGGGTAGCGGTAGTAGAAGTCATTGTCATAGTCAGAGTGACTAGAGTGGTTGGTGTTATGCCACTCCTTTGCATCCGTCTCGTGGTCGTACTGCACCAGCACACCGAAGAGGATGATGAGGATGATCTCCAGGATGAAGCAGGTGATCGGCAGCTTCAGCCGCATGTTGGTCGCTGCGTCCGTCATGTTTCCTTTTCCCGGTGAGGCTTTGGGGATGAAAGGAATAAAAGATCCAGCACAGAAAGTTAGACACACTCTGTCTCTGTCACACACACCCAGGGGAGTCCTCAGTGCAGAGACCAGAGGCTGGTGTGTGTGAGTGTGTGTGGGTGTGTGTGGAGGTGGAAGAAGACGCTCACAGACGGACACAGGGACTGTCTTACATGTGTGTTTTTGTTCTGCTGGGTCACACCTACTGGACCTGCCTCCTCCACAAATAAGGCAGGGTTGTTTTTAGCTCCACCCCTCTGCTACTGTACTTTTTAAGGTGGACAGAAGAGCTGGAGCTCACCTCAAGAATCAGTAATAAGTTATCATCCATGACTTTTCTGGTCTTTTGGTAATTCCTTTTAATGCTTTAAACAATTCTAGTCCTGTTGCATTAGTAGTTGAGTAGCTAAACTAGACAATATTTAATGCCACATGACTCATGTTGGATAATATGATCTTAGTCATGTGTCATGTCAGACGCCTGTGTATAAATGATCTATTAATCACGACTTGTCCCAGCCTTTTCTGTTCTGTTGTTCTGTTCATTACCTGCTAATAAAGACACAGCTATCTCAACAGTTATTTGCCTGAATACACACAAGTGCTGTGTCTCAAATGGGAAACTTCAGTGAGTCTACTTGCACGTTGTCCACTCACAGGAAATAACAATCGTAAAACATGACAGTGATTGTTGCCCGCCTGCCGTCTGCTTTGCTCGCTTGACTTGTCACCATCGCGCAAACAACGTGTTCTCCTCCTTCAGTCGCTGTTTTCACAAGTGTGAAAATACATTGGTGGTCCCTTCCCTTCTGCTATGTCACCAAGATGACGTTTTTATACTCAATTTTTGGACTGTTTTGAGTGAATCATCTGGGTACTTCTAATGCACTGCATGAGCAAAGACGTATCAACACTGCTAGCAATGTTGGCTAACCAATACCGACCTGATTAAGTTTACGTGAAAGTGGTGGAAAGTCCTTTTGAAACATTGCAAGGACAAAATTCAATCAATTCAAAATCTGTAAAAATGAAAAACAAACACTGCAGGAGCTACAGCCAAAGTCCTGATGCCACCTTTGGGCTAGCCTGTGCTCCATAGCTAGCGTTAGCATAAACAGCTCTTTACTTACCAAACTTGCCAAGAGGTTCAGCCATTTTTGCATTTACAAGACAACAGGTTATAACACGTCGTCTGAGCAGCTACTTCTTCAGGACAGACCGGACACTACATTGACTCGGTATCGGAAAGTGCCGAGCTAGCTGTTTAGCATGCTAACTTCAGTACAAGAAAGTAAGTGATAGAAATAAAAGCAAAACAATAGGGTTGCTTTCCACCTCTTGGTGAGTAAAGTAATAAAGTTTGATGCTGAACTTGCAATGTTTCCTCTGGACTGGTAAGTAAACAGGTACCAATGCTAACGTTAGCTATGTAGCAATAGCAAAACTTACAAATAGCTCCTTTAATTTTTATGTTTTTATCATATTTTGTGAAATCATTGTTGGCACCTATCTTTTCAGGGGTTTTGTTGATAATAAAAAAGAAAGAATAACAGCAGCGGTGTCCTTTATGCATAATTTGCTGCTGTTTCTGCTTGTTGAGGAAACCACAGCAGCACAGACCATTTACTGTGTCTTTCACCATCACAACAGCGAGAGGATGCGGGCGTGGTGGTGCCTCTGAGGAGGGAACACATGGATTAGGAAAAGGCTGTGATTAGACATTAGAGGCTCAATGAGTGTAGTGGCAGTAGGCTGAGGGATACCTGCGTGTTCTTCCTACTTCTCTTCTTCCTCCTTCTGCTGAAGCTCGATAAGGGATATCACTCACACCTGTATATCGTCCTCCTCCATCAGCGGAGATGGCCTGTTTTTTCAGAAAGGTGAACACACTGGCAGGAATGTTGTTATGATTCTGGGGAATTTGAACTATTACCACTTAAGACCACAGGCGTCAAACAGCAGCCATGAACTTTTCAGTCACAGAAGAAGCCTCTTTGTCTGCTCAGCATCCTGTCTGTCCTGCTCCCAAGTAAGCTTGACCTCAACCTGCGTCTCCACTAACTGCTGGGCCGGTGAAGCTCATCCTGCCTCGGGTTACTCTGGGCCTTTTCTTAATTAAAGGATAAAGCTACATAATCCATATTTTTTCATTGTCTGCTCCAAATAGTCATTACAGCTAAAATGTAGATTAATCCGCCCCTGAAAATAGTCCCCAACCAATGCACTATTTCCTCCTGTAGAGATACTTGATTTTACTGTGTCAGTTTGTTTTTGAGGAAATTACTGAACCTTTAAAAATGGAACTCTATATTTTTTAACTGTTTTTGAAGGTACACATCTTTAGTAGGAATCAATGGACTTGGACCTGAACACCACAGACAGAGGAGGGAAGTCAGAAAGCATCAAGAGACATTGTTTATTTTTGTCTTGTCAATAATTTGTTGACAAGAATAAAAGTATAGATAAGAGTTGTTACTTAAAATCATTAATAGTTGTGGAGAGGCGTCATGAACTTCTCTCTTTACTGGTAAATTTAACATATTTATTTATTCAATATCTGGTCAAAAAAATTAAGCTATTCAAGAGCGAGACCCGTGAAGGATTTGCAGAATGAAACCTAATCAGAAAATCATTCATCAATCATCATCATTACAGTATTTGTATTCACAAGATGTGAGAATTGCAGTTCATGGTCGGCACCTTAAACCTCTTTTTTTTAACCACATTATTATTCTATTTTAATATTTGTATATATTCTGTTTTTCTGTCATGATGTTGACCAAGGATGTAATAAAAGCTATTATATCATCAATGGTGTAATTTTTATTATAACTATTACTGCATCACCTTTTTTGAAGGAACATTATTTGTAATTTATCACAGAATACATAACTTTTTCACTTAGAAGCCAGAAGCCAAAAGAAGTCATATAGTTGGTATATAAAGATCTAATAATAACAGAGAAATTTATTTTAATTTGGTAGTTTATGAAAAATATTCTTGTTTACTTCCTGTAAAAAAAAAAAAAAGTAAAATTTTGGTTGTCTTTTTTCCAACTCCAACCAAAGAATGAAGTGAAGAATATAATCAGTTCTTCAACAGTTGATTCCTGCAGGTGGAGTCTTGTTTTTGGAAGAAACCTATTAGCTTGTGTCACTTTTCTTTGGATTGATGACTTTAAAGGAACTTAAAACTTCAACTTCAGGCCATAAAGACCTGTACGTCTGCAGACGAGTCTCATCTTGTCTTTTCTCTTGAACTGCGCTTGTTCCTCATCACTTCATCTCAGCAGTTCCAGTTCCAGGTTTCACTTAAATCAACAAGCCTTCGAGCCGTCCTCAGGTTCACGCACTGAACCGCTCGAAACGCTCAGGCAAAAGTCCACAGGTGTAGATTCAACCAACCAGTGAGTCAACGACACCTCAGGTAACGTACCTGTGCAGTCTTGCAGGAAGGCTTGTGGACAACAGGATAAGACGGTGACCTCTGACCTCTCCCTTAATTGTCTGTAATCAGTCTGGTGATTGAGGTGTTCTCTGAAGTCCACGACATGATGAAAGTCTTGTTAGAGAACATGTAAAAAAACAGAGGAGGGGGCGAGAAATCGTGTTAGAAATCAAACAACGACGGCGCCGTCATGAAGGTCCAATTGAAAACAGGTAGCGCATCGTTTGTGGAAACAAATTAAATAAAGATAACAAAAAAAAGGAACAAAACAAATAAACAAACAAAACAATTTTAAAGAACTTCTGAGTAAAAATGAACAATCAGATAAAGTAAGTTCATCTCCAAATCTAGACGACTGTGACCCAACAAACATCTTCATTCAATTTTATTTCAGGTTATGTATTAAAAACAACTTTATAAATTAATAAATGAATCCAATAATAAATAGATCACATTATTGAAACTGACAATAAAAAGTTAGAATAAATAAAACTTTATGTATTAATACAGTACATCTATATATTCTATATAGTTTTCTAACAGTAATATTCTGTTTTTTAAAATTGTGAACAAAAGTCTGTAAAATGACAGAAATTATCTGTGAATTAACAGCCAAACTTAAGCATTAACTTTTTTTCATTACGTCAAACATTCAAACAAAAGTTTGAAGTACTGGCATGTATCCCAGCATGCACTGGAAGGAAAGCAGGAAAATGGTTCATCACCCAACAACACACACTCACAAACACAGGCGCGCACACACACACACACACACACATTCAAACCTATGAACAATTTAGAGTCCTCAATTAATTAAATGTGCATGTCTTTGTACTGGTAATCAGAGCAAGCAACACTGCAAGAAAGAACCAGGGTTGAAGCTGAACCCAGGCGCTTCTTGCTGTTGTCTTCCTACCTAGACTTTACTAGGCTGTGTGTTTGTGCACCATGTACCATAAAAGAAAACAGTACAAATTTGACAACGACCAATTCATTTGCTGTGGCCACCAGATTCCATCAGCTCAGGGAACCTTGTTCAACAAACTAGATCTTCGGTCTGCAAACACTAACATATGGTATTCTGTACCGTGTGTGTGTGTGTGTGTGTGTGTGTGACGTGGCAAACTGCCGTAACGTCACCCATTGGGTTGTGAACTGCCGTTTTGAAGCCTCGAGTTTGGCTTAATGGACGTCACCATCTTGGTTTATTGTCACCAGAACAAACCATATTTGGATGAGAGGGTGGAGCTGGGGAGGGAGGGAGGGAGGGATTGGTGGATCTGGTGGATCAAGTACTCCCACCCGCATCGGCAACCTGACAGCAACAGGCTCCCGGCTGAGCCGTGTGAAGATGCTGCTAACACGGTTAGCTGTCACAACTGTTACATTAGTCTTATAGGCTAATTGCACACATCCGACGTCCATTAGGCAAATATATATGTGATATGTACTTTTTTTACATTGTATTATTTTGAATAATCTTATAAATCATTCAATGCATTCATCAATGGACAATGCCAGCAAGCTAGCTGCTAATGCTAGCAAGCTAGCCCCGCCCCCTCTTCTGTTCTGTCCATGTTTTCACCAATAAAGTTTAAAAAAAAGCTTGCGCTTCGCTTGGTCTGGACTGTTGTCTCCAGCCTACCATTCATGGTTCCCATCGCCGGGCATCACCCAGTTCCTCATTGTTCACCCA